ACTCTCTTTTCTTCAAAAAAACATCTTAACCTACTTAAGGGAACCCTCAAGGAAATAAATGCCTGAAAACATTAACTCCTGTAAGCAGTAGCAACTCTTCGAGGGAATTCAGTCAAGACCTGWCAATCTTTGTGCTCATGTTCTCTCAGCTCGTTCTGGCTTACATTTTCTGATTTGGTCACACAAGATATTGAAGTATTARTTATAACTAACTGCATCATGTACAAGTCCATTTTTATTTCAAAGCAGGGGTTGTGCTTTCTAACAAAACATTCAAAGTGTCTCTGAGCAATTTGTAATAGTGTAGTATTGCAGTATTGCAGTATTATCTGCGTATACTGCAAATATAAGAATGATGGTAACTTAGCTAGCTTAATAATCTACGCTTTTAATATAACTCAGTCAGCAATGCAGTCCGCCACTGTATTTCCCAGGAAAATCTGCTAGGGTAGATATTTGKGCAAGGCTCTGGGTAGGATTTTTTTTTCACAGCTCTATTCATCTACTGTGCTTATAAACATCTCATAGGGTTTTAGTAGTAAAAGGAAATGCCATGCACGCGGCCTTGGGGATCCCTGGCAGGTATTCCAGTGTGCAGGGCCCAGCGGCTGACTCTTGGGCAGTAATTTTCAGCTCCCTACACGCAGTGACGGGCCTGCAATGAAAACCACCACAAGCCTCACAGTAATGCTGTGCTAGCACGTGCTCCCTCGGCAGAAAGCTCTCTTCTGACAGAGTTGTAAAGCAACCCACAGGGCATGTTAAATTCAGTGGGGCCTGTACTGGACAGAAGCTTCACTGCAGCTTCCTGCTTCCACAGGGTCACTGGAGGCCATGGCCCTAGTGTGTCTAGTGAGGAGGGCTGAGCTCTACTCGGTGGTGGCCAGKGACAGGACAAGGGGCAATGGGTTCAAGTCGAAACACAGAAGTCCCATCTCCCTGTGAGGAAGAACTTCTTCACTGTGAGGGTGCCAGAGCCCTGGAACAGGCTGCCCAGGGAGGCTGTGGAATTTCCTTCTCTGAAGGTCTTCCAAACCCGCCTGGATGCCGCCCTGTGCCCCGTGCTCWGGGTGTCCCTGCTGGAACAGGGGGTTGGACTGGATGATCTCCAGAGGTCCCTTCCAACCTCAACCATTCTGTGATTCTATGAAATCTTGGTCTCCAAGGCAATTCATAGAACAGTTGTACTGTCACATCATAAAACTCTTCCAGCCCCCTCTACAAGGCACTGCTTCAGACTTGGCAGTCCTTGGAACATGGAAACTTCAGGAAAAATATTAATAATAATAAAAAAAAAGAGTTTTCCTCGCTTGGTAAGGAAGTGAAAGGAAATGGAACTATCAACTCTCAGTCTTTTTAATCCTATTTCCCTATGAACTGTGTGAGTGACATATTTATTCTCAGGGCCGGGTTGTGCTTATGTCACACTCTGGCACTGATAACTGTAGTTTAGATTCATTTTAACCCCCACGCTGCTCTAGAAGCCTAACTGCAAAGTTGCCCAAGATGAATTGAGTTGAAAAGAATTTTCCGACTAAAGATGCATCCTTAAAACACACACGCCTCCTATTTCCTGTTCAAGTAATTCAGAGATCCTGCATGTAGACAGAAGGACTAGAAAACGGGAAAGATTATCCTATCTTCTTTCTTGAGTAGTATTGCTTGTCACCTTTGAAAATAAATTTGTACCTGGATATACACTTTGAAGAATCCATTGGAGTGTCTTTCCTTGCAGACGTTTTGTTCGTGAGGACTCGTGTAAAAACATCTTTTAACATTGATCTGTAGTAGTGCTAATGTATCTGCTTCAGTGCAAGTGTATAGACCGAAATACAGTTCTAGATAATAAATTCTGCCATTAAAAAAAAACTTTCCCTGTACCTTGTATAAGAGTACAACCTTGAGGTTAACTATCTCTTTCAGATAAAGATGGTCAGTCTCCATTTTCTGATTCCTTCTGCAGGAACACAACAGTAAATCAAGTTGGCCCCATGGACTTCTCTTACATTTGTTGTCACCYCAGACCCATGCAAGTAGGAAGCAACAGATCTTTCCACAAAAACTATCTATTGCTAGCCACTAGCCAAAGCACARGAATGCATGGACACACATGATGATAACCCTTAAAATAGCTTAAAGTAACTCAGGCCCTGATAAACATATTCTTTTTCCTCAAAGCTGAAGTATTTATTTCACCTGTAAGCAAACTCCAGGACAATTAAGACAGTGAACTATAGCTTGTTGGCAGACACCACTATATAATGATGAAGTGTGGAAGTATATAATGACTCAGTGTGGCAATTAATCTGTACATGGGAAAGAATCTTCCACTATCTGTAAAAGCAAGGCTGCTGTTTTATAAAAGAGCAAGAGAAATAGCTCAGGCTCACAGACTGAGATTAGGACACCTATGTGTRTGAGGAAAAAAAAGGACTTTTTTTTTAATAAAGAGGAGGAGTCACAAAACAAGCGTTGAGCTAGAAATAAATCATTTATTTTAAAACATTACAGGTTAATAAATAGATTAGTTATCAGAAAACTTAATAGCCTTTTATAATTTACGCAAGGCAAATACAACATGCCTGTAACTATTTTTTAAAAAGCAAAGGGAATAAGCTAGACTCATAAGCCATTAACAAATCTGTATATACATTATTTAGAAGCTAGTAAAATAAACCATTTTCATGTAATCTGTAATTACTATATTGCAATAGCATTGAAGCAACCAGATCTATCACACTGTGTATTTGTCACCATCCACTTTTCCCCCATATCTCATTAAAAGTGATTTTTTTAAATGTACCCAAAAAAAAAAAAAAAAAGAAAGTAACTCAAAAATACCCCTTGTGTGTAACATTTTCCACTCTGGAGAGCAAACTGTCTGAAAACAAAACAAAAATACCCCAAGTGCCTCTTTGCAGCTCTTTAAAAAGATGTCCTCATCTGGAACTTCGTAAGCCCTTGATTTCAACAYGGCTGTCGGACAGACCCGGGCACCAGGCACGGTAACTTTTCCCACAATTGGTGCTAACAACATGGTCCACCTCAAGTTCTGCATCACCTAAACCCATATTCTGTAGCACCAATGACTACAAAGACTGATCCCTAAAGAAAACTGATAATAGCTAATATAGTTTAAAAAATGATTTAACAGTAACATCTCAGCAAGTCCTAAAGTTATAGGATCTCAAAACAGTATCTAAGGAATCCTTAGTGTTTTGTATTTAAGGAACAGGAAGGTGAGAGGTGCATATTGTGCAAAGAAAGCCCCATTTTTAAGCATCCRTATTTAGTTACTTCAACCTTTCCTTTAAATGCAAACCCCTTGTTAAAAAAAAAAAAGGAAAACTAAATCTCAGACTCCACCATTTCAACAAATCCAGTGTTGTATTTTTTCAGTGCTATGTACTTCATAAAAATACCTGTGTTGAATACAAGCCAAAGTTACTGTAAGGAAGCCTCACTTGTCAAACTGTTACACGACAGGTTCTTATCCATGTTAGGTTCAGCTAAATAAATAGACTCTATTTACACATATAGTACCCTGAATGGTTAATTCAACAGATATTTTATGTATTCTTTTAAAGTGTAACACTTTTTTTTGGTTGTATCAAAAAGTTTTCTGTTCTCCTACTGAACATTTGAGGGATTTTTGTATTTAACAGCTAATAAAGATTGGGACCGACACACGTCAATTAAGTCCTCCATATGCTGAAGGGATAATGATCAAAGAGCCATCTTCAAGTAACAGAACCGTATATGTAAATATGGTTGGTAACTAGAATAGAASCCAGAGCAAAATCCCTCTCAYATGAATAAAATTAATATGAGTCCCACCACTGTCATCAGTCCACTTTTTGTATGTATGTAGTCTCTGGTCACTTCCACTTTGGAATCTGCGCTTAGGTCCCCTGGCTCACAGTTACCCACGTAAGGAATGTGGAAATCTGTGAAAAGGGCAGACCCACGAGAGACACCAAAGCTCAAGAAACAACGATGCTCATTCGCTCCCTGAGATAATGGAACTTGGGCGTCTTATTCAAAAGAAAGAGGAAAAAGCTGAAAATTCAACTTCAACAGTGCCTCCTTTTCAATCAGAAAAAGCAATGGGAAAGACTAAAAAAGGGTAGGACATCTAGGGAAGAAGATTCATRCCAACAGCAACAACATAAAATGCTAATACATTTCTAAAGTCAGAACCAGACCAGACCCAGAACTCGAGAGAACGCTGCGCATATACTGAGCAAGAGTAGCAAAAATAAGAGGTTTTCATTATTTATCATTCACAATGTAAAAGGCTGCAGGTAAAAATGATGTGCAAGGCCACTAGAATTTCTTTCACTTTATGTGCTGGCTTTTGATATCTGTATTAAACACGGGTAACTAGACATTTCTAGAAATCCCATCAGGGATGAAGTGCAGCTGGGGAGGAGAGAAAAAAAAAGATTAAAAAAAAAAAAAACCCACAAAAACTTCCCCATGAAAACCCCCGAACACCCGTGCAGACATTTAGCAGCTCTAAGCATGGTCAGAGGACCAAAGGGCAGAGCTGCTACTTTTGCATTACTCTGCATAGTGCGTGCTTATCAAGTGACGTTGTTCGTATGGTGCAGAAAATGGCAGGGCTATAGCAGGGCAGTCAAGTTGTTTTCAATATAATTTTTAATAATAATTTGCATAYGCACCTAAAATAGTGAGTTAGGCACTTTCTAAATAAATAGGAATAAACTTTAAAACAAAACAGATAGAGTTATGGCCAAAGAAGAATTTTGACCTTACTCTCTGAAGACCTTCTGTCTGCAGAGTGTAAGGGCTAGTGTAAAACCAACATGAACCAACTGTGAATTTGAATTTTGAAAGGATGCCTTGACTGCTTCAGAAAACAGACAACATTATTTTAAAAAGTAAATCACTACAGSTCACATAACTTTTTTAGGACTCAGTTTCAATCAGAAAAGAAAGGCATCTAGAATGAAAAAAGTAATTGTCCATTGATAATAAAGATACCATTTTTCAATCAATAAGGGCCAAAGTTTAGTTTTACCTGGATTTTATAATCTAACTAGCTCATTTATAATACTGAAACTTTCTAGAAACCAGGAATGGTGTTTGGGAATTCACAAAGATGCCTTTCATGTGCTAATGCTTTTTTAATCTTACCAAGATATCCAGTTTCCTTACTAGCCTATAATGTGCTTCTCTCAATGCAGAGTCAMCTCAGTTGGTATCTTCCACAGGTCACAGTTACAAAACTAGCYTCAAAATAATATAGTCGGGCTCTTATTCCCTCGTCAGAATACTAAGTCTTTAGGATTCATTATTTRTGTTTATTGCTGCAATCAGAAGGGCTTATAACATTTCTTTTAAATGAAAATGGAAACTGAGTTGAAAGGAAACATTAATTATGGTCAAAAGACACCACAAAAGTGCGCAATCTTACTCCTCATTAACTGAAGTTTGCATTACTGCATTACTGTCAGTCAGAAAACTAAATTCATGATTTCTTCTTAAGAACTTTTCMAAGGACTATCTTTCAATCATCTTTTTTGTTTGTTTGAAGAGGCATTCTGAACTAGAGGTATTTCCACTGTACGCTTCCTACTTTTGCCTTAAGATGAAAGAAAAGAAAAATCACTACTTAAGTCTTGTGACTCAGGATATTGATAATCATCAGATACAAATAYGGCATGGAAATAGGTTCACTCCCAAAATGCTCACAGTTTCGAACTGAGTGAGGAAACTAGTTATTTCTTTTGGTAACATATCAACATGCTCTAAGTGGTCTGAACTGATGGGTTCAGAATCACTCCAACCGCAGTGTAACTATTTGTATCAATGCAAAAATATTATTGCTAAACTGTCATTCAGGCCTGGATATACTGCATGTGATCTGAATGCTACGCAAAAACTCAGCTCTCTGAATGCCTACAATACGTTAGTCTCCCTCTACCAGGTTGCAAGAGAAATCGGGCCAGCTTTCCTTTTTCTGAGCTAACAAGAAATCTGACACTATTTTCCCTATCTTTTGATTTCGTTGCTGCTAATTACTTTACAAAACAATTTCCTATATTGTCACTTAACTAGAATATGCTGGACTGCTTTAAACAGACCTCTTGCAGACTGCCCCTTTTATGCCTATGGATATTTCAGAAGTTGTCAAGACATCTAAAGATTTCAGGTCAGATTTGTAACGTTTTCCACTGCTCTAGTGCCTAGAGTTTGAACACAGTCAAGTATCACATACAATGAAAGTGAATTATTAAACCGGTATAGGCCATCYGAAACAAATACATTCACATTTATGCAGTATTTTTGGATTACAAAGGCACTGAAATAGTTCTGAGCTGCTTACAAATATGCCACCACATAGTCAAGAAGTCTGTGCATTGTTTCTTCATCCTTCCCAGTCTTTCTGTCTGTTCCCAATTAAAAAATCAGGTGAATGCAGTATGTCTTAATGCATGTATGTTACAAAGAAATACGCATACATCTAATCCGGACACTACCGTCTGCTTAAATAATTAGTGAAAGATTTTAAGGGCTCACTACTCTGTTTAAGGAATTTAATTTAAAACCCCCCAGTGCCAGAACAAACTGCAGAGACAGCTGCTATAAAAGCACAAATCTGCAGTCCGAGTTGAACCAACACTTGTCTCAGAATTCACAGCCTGGACGGTGAACACATTGCTATATTAAGAAGATTAACAAATTGTTCCAATAACTTCTCCCCACCCCCCCATTTTTAAGGGTATATATCACCCATAAGACATGTCAGATTGAGTCCATTAGAAACTGATGTTCTCTCTCCCCAGAAAGCACACTCAGAAGCAGCAGTAATATAGGTTTTCACACATGGGTCTTGTCAGAATAACCCAAAGTCTTTTGTGATGAGTCACTTTTTGCAGTGGGGAAATACATCAGTCTCCATGCTGGCTCAATCCTTGGCCTTCCCACTGAGACCATCCCCAATAATGCCAATTACTGCCATGTATTATGTTGACATGGGGCAAACGGACAACTGTCCCTTTGAAACTGGAGGGAAGCCTCTAAATCACTTCCCGTAGGCCACCAAGTTGCCAGAGGGTAACAAATACCAACTTGAGTCACTATTGAATCAGTGACCTACAAACGAAAGGCTCCAGCACTCCCTGAGCCATCCAGTTTCCCTCGAAAACAGAAAAAAAAAATTAATCTGTCTTAATGTTAGGTTTGTTTAAATCCCCAATATTGAAGTTGAATTCCTTAAACACTTGTATGAGAACAATCCCAATAGATACCGTGGTGAATCCACAGGCCATTCCCAAGAAATCTACCACCCCCACATTACTCCATTCCCTGAAAAGGATGGCTGAAGCCAGCAAGACCAACGTGGTAAACACAACGTAGTAGATGGCACCAAACACAGAGGAGTCAAAACATTCCAGTGCCTTGTTGATGTACCTGAACTGAATGATGATGCTACATCCCAACACTGCCAGGAGGACCAGACAGAGATAGAGAGCCCTTTGGCTTGACGGGTTGTTGTGAAAGATATCTTGAGCAGCCAGGCCAATGCCTTTTGTGCTGGGCACCGTGAAGCTGCCCAGCAGGGAGCAAATGCTGATGTAAACCATGATATTGGTAGGTCCATGAGCTGGAGCTATCCAGAAGATAAGCAGGAGAAGCATTAGCAGTACTATGCAGAGATAACCCACAAAAACTGGAAAACAAGAAGAAAACAAGGTAATGGCAATTGAAGCACAAGGTAATGGCAACTGAAGCACAAGGTAATGGCAACTGAAGCACTTCCAGTTCAGGAGCTATGCTGGAGATCTTAGCAGACAAATCATATCCAGGTACATACCACAACTGAGGTGTGATAGGGAACACACACTCAAAAACATTGAGTTTTTAATGATTTAGTGGGCACCCGTGTCTAATGATGATCTCATGCTCTTTACGCAAAGGAAATCATCATGTGGTAAAATGCATTTTTTTTTCTTAATTCTCTTTTCCATTTGGGTTATACTCACTAAAATCCCCTATGACCAATGGCAGTAACACCACCTCATTCACAACCAGCTTAGGAAAGCTGCTTGCGTGGGTGAATTTAGCAAAGTGCTTAAGCATAAAATTAAATCCTGTTAGAATCAATGAAAAGCATAGGGACTGTTGGAAGAACGGAGAGGTCAGTTCTCTTTTTACATTATTGCATTTACATTATTCCATTAGTATGCGAATTGGAGTGGTGAAAAAGTATTTCACACTTTGAAGTTTTGAAAAAAAGTACTTCCTATTCATGCTGGTTTTGGTGAATCTGTAAATTTAGACCAGAGTGTTTGTTTTCATTTTCTTGAAAATTTATGCCTTGTCTTTCTTCCTCCCCTCTCTTCTTCCCAGCTTTGGATACCTGATGTGGTTTGAGTTTCTCCCCACTAAAAAAAACTCTTAGGAAAGAAATTAAAAATGGTTTGAAACATCTTAAGCACTGGTATATGTCATCCAGCAGCTAATGTGGTTTTACTTCCAACACTCCATGAGACAGGCACTTCAGGACATGTCTAGAGAGCCCATTTCTGCACACCTCTAGAATTCTCCTTGGAATATAACCGGTATCTAGTATAAACTTATAATCAAAAAACAAAGGTAGAATTAAAGAACAGCAGACAATGAATTTCTGTATTTGTTTTTATAAAATGACTTAATAATTCTAGATTTACAGTTTTCGTTCCCTAGATAACCAGAAACTTTTTTTTGTAATTTTAGAAAATTATGAGTTCAAATGGCCACTGTTCTTACTTTGAGGTGAAGGAGAATATTTTGAAAGGAGCAGTTTAACTCCTAAATCACTATTTTTCGTTAAAAAAAATTAATTGATMTATATCTACATTTTCATTTCTGGGCACACGTATCTATAAATCTGAGGAATTCTAAGTACAGCAAACCATATTGTTATGTCCCTGCCACATCATGTTTTCTTGAGAAATCTGGTTTTCTAGCTCTGGGAAGGCGGACAGCTCTTCTTCGTCTGCATTCCTGACCAATCTCACAAAATGACTGTGCTTTAATAAAAGCAGGAGGTACCTGGATTTGTAAGCTTCTCTTCAAGTTCAGCCTGCGTGGTTACACTCTCAGATTTTGGGGAATGGATGATCAGAACAACAGACCCAGCACAGCTCAGCAGACATCCCAGCTTGCCAAGAATGTTGAGTTTTTCCTTCAGCAAGTAAGAAGCTAAAATGGACCTTTCACAAAAAGGAAGAAAATTAGAGGGTTGAGTATAATCTCTTAACACTGCTCTGCCAGTTATTTGCCACACGAATTTCCTTCCAACATTAGTGAATCTTCAAAGAGCTTTCAAATTGCATTTCAGTCTTAACTTAAGGAAGACTTTCTCCATCTCCACCTTATTCAATCCATTATGTTTTATCTGAGCRGAAGAAGAGGCATCAGGCCCCCCAGAGGCAAATACCTACCTCTTACAGTTATGTGAGAGATCACAACCTCCATTTACAGGCACCATGAGAGATAAAAGTGACCTCTGATTACAAAGACTAGAAGGCTCAGCTCAGACATAAACCTGTCCAAAACATACAAATTATGAGGCCTAGCATAAAATAATAGGTGATGAGTAGAGCACCACCAGCACGATTTGCAGTGTGTGAAATTAAGACAGACATGAAGCCTGCCCAAAACAAYATACAGCCAAAAGGAGGCGACCAGTAGAGTTAGATACAAAAACCAGCAAGCAGGCAAAAGAAAAATATTAAGGCAAAGCAAAGCACTTTTAAGTAAGTGTACTTTTTTGCTGCAGTGGTTTCACAAGTATAGTTTAACTCTTCATAAAATATTTAACTGTATACTAGGCTCCTCCTGGTTGGAGGACACATGAGCATCACGTTAAAGGAAGCTATGGTCATGCACTGGCCAGGGGCTCTCTCACTTCAGAGAACCAAGCCAAATCCAGTTACATTAAGCTCAAAGTCAGCAAACACATGCAGGTTGTGGATAGCAGGCGAGCGAAAGAATATTGAAAGAAACACAGACTAAATCTACATAAGGGAACASTGCATGAGAGAAACCATGTTGTTTTATCTGATCGAGATCACAGTGGTAGTTAAAGCAGAATAATCAAGAATCCCTTTTTTTCCTGTCCTCTAACACATTGCCCACTTTGCTGGGCAAAACAGCAAGAGGTAACATAACATTTCTGTAACACTCCTGGGTCTGACACCTTCTAAGTGGAAGGCTGGTAATCACCGAGTCTATTTGACGCTCCAAGCAGTAACAGTATTCAAATAAAAACAAGTAAAGCCAACTCTTACCCAAATGGAACGCCAAGAGCTCCCAGGGGAGTCACTAACACCGTCGGAACTGCAGTGTAGGCCAAGAAATTCCCTATTTGACCAAGAGCCACTGTTAAGAGAACCAGAAAGAGGCCTTTAAATCTCTTTGGAAAGGGAAGTAATGAAAACTTACCCAATACTGTCTGGGAAAGACTGCCCCAACTGGGAAACAGATGTTACAGAGCTACTAAGCATCATCCAAAATCTTACTCGTGGCTTCTCTTTGTTAAGTATATATAAGGCTTCAGATAAGAAGCACTCACATACCACACTCAAATGTGTGCACTGCTAACATTATATAACCCATGATTTCAGCTCTAAAACRTGCATACACATAACAAGAACACATTGGGGTGTAATTTCTAAAGAGCAGTGTCACCTTTTTCAAGTGAGGGACATTACTAGAGGAATCTAATCATGAAATATGAAGCACATGCAGAAAAGCTCTTGAATGTACAGTCAAGCACATCAAATTTTCACTGCCCTATATAGCATCAAAGGTAATCCCTGGCTCGTGTAGCAAGAACTAATCTATGCAAAGTCACAATAACAGCTCGTCCTATTTTCTTCCAGTAAAAGTAATTTCCAAAATTTACCACACTATTGCACATCACAGCTGTGATAAACAGCTCATGTGGTCAAGTTTTGAGTTAAATAAAGAAAGAAAAACAAGTACTGGCCAGTTTTGCAAGTGCTGGCAAGTTTCTAAGTCAATATGACGCTGGCATAGCCCAAGAGCCTGTCACCAGCAAGAACCTGGATGCTGGATACTGAACATAAAATACACACAGCTCAAATTTCAAGTTGATTTCACAGCTCAAATTTCAAGTTGATTTCTAGTGCTACTATTAGCATCTTAAAAAATTCAAAAAAATCCAAGCTGTCCTCACTCTAAGGCTGGCATTACACACCACTGTCAAACGATGTTCTCACCATGCTGTTCTTTACCTCTGCAAGACACTGTGCAAATACTAATTTACCAAATCAGCTCACACACTCAGTAAAGTTGATGTAACCCGTGTAACCTATAAGAAACCCAAAGGAGACAGACAAACTTAAAACTGCAGAGGATGGCAGGACTACACTAATCCAGGTCACTGGGGCTTTCATTATGCGCAGCAGSAAGCCACAGAAATAAATCCACCAACAGCGTCTCTACAGGCAAGGGGCAGTGGCAGTTTCCTGCGCAGTTCCTGGCCCTGGGAATACAGCCCCTCTGCCGTCAGCCTCGGTTTTGCTGTCCAGCAGATACCCACAGCAGCTCTGGTGTCAGCTCCGAGGCGCCCAAAGGCGCTGGCAGAGAGCTCRAGTGCAAGCCATGGCACCCGCACCGTGTTCCTGCACACCCCAAACGCTCCAAAGCCCCTCTGACAAAACACACTCTTTCATGCCTCTGGTGCCTTAGCTTTCTGTTAAAGAACCCTAGCAGATGGCACCAACACAGATACACACACAAACTGACTCATATTACAGTCGGTTGCATTTACCCAAAATTGTCAGCACCACCATGGAATAACAGTAGCAGTTCCTTAACACCATGAATGCTAGACCAACATTAACTAAGGCCAATAAAAAAAAAAAAAAGTCTGTGCTTGCTATCGTTCACCTGCTGTTGAGGACCTTTGCTGCCAAGCTGTCCAGTCTTGCGTGGACAGAAATTCCTCTCCAGGTGTGCCAGTGCTGTCAGCAAGACAGGACTCCAGTTCTCAGAGGCCCACCAAGCTTTAAGCTAGCCATAGGAGAGCAGCAGCGTCGCAGAAGTTGTTGCAGCACAAGACTTGACRCACACTGACACGTCAGCGTCAGCAAGGAGACCAGCAGGAGTCTATATCCTCTATCTACAGAGCCGAAGTACCTGCCCGATGCATCCCAGGGAGGTTTATTTCCCCTTAGCTTTAGCCTGGTCCCACAGGCTGAAAGTCCATTTGCAGCTCACATGCGTTAGGCACATTCCTAGGATGCATCTTCCAGTCTAGCTTTGGCTGGAAGCAGTCCAGTTTAGGTGTTCCAGTATTGCCCCAAAATGTGAAGCAAAGCTCAGTACGTGGCAACAGACMGGAGATTTGCTTCACAAGTCCACTCCCCATCTAAGGTAAAACACTAATGTAGATGCATCCAGTATAAGAACTGTCACAAACGCCACAGCTATGCTTCTATCAGAATCTGCACTGAAACTAATTAATGGTTTAATTAATTAGTTCAATGCCAAACAAAGTACCTGTACACGCGGTGCAATCACTCTTTTGACTGCAGTATAAAAAAGTCCCTTAGCAGAATCTGGAGCCCTTCCTTGGACGTCTTCAGTAATCCAGTGGGTCCCAAGGCCACAAAATGGTTAGGCCGTGTTATCCTGAGCCAGGATGCCTACACACAAATACTTGTTCACTGTCTGAACAGATGCTCGTTCTGTTAGTCATCCTAACTCCAAAATCTGCACGTTAGGAGATTACTGTCACCTACTGTAATTTATCCAAAGTTACAGGGGATAGTGTAAATCTCCAAAATGCCACCTTGCTCCGGATCCCACAACTGCCTACCTGGCTTTTGCTACTGCTGGTTGTCACCGGGTTGCAATTCTGAATCTACAACATCCTTATGGAGTTCTCACCTGGCTTCTTCTGTAAACTTTTACAGGCTTTGATTTCAAATACCTGCACTTAGCTGATGGACAAATGCCCACTGATACCACTCCCCTACGCAACTTCAGCTTCACTGAAAGCATTCAGCCTTTTGACACACAAAACCTTCTTCTCTGACTCAGCAAGATAAGCTCCTGCAATAAAAACACTTYTTTTTTTCTTTTTTAAATTCCTTCTATTCAGTGATKTGAAATGGAGGCCTCGCAGGGAATAAACAACAGCGATTAAAGCATAGATTTATTGCTACTTATGCATATAGTCATCACAGTAGACTAGGAAGCCGGCAAAGAACTACTTCAACTCAGCTTAAATTAGCTGAGGACTTTCCTCTGGAGCTATGTTAGGTCTACTCTTGCTGTGGACTTCAACCTTCAAAGGGTTTTACAGCTTTTACAGTACAGTGGTAATATTGCAAATTCATGTGCACAAAGCTAGGGCTGAGCTACAAAAGCTAAGTACTCTGCATGTTCTGCAATGGAATCACAGAGGGAACTCTGTGCGAGCCTAAGTTACAAAGACGCCAAGTATAAAACTTCCARTCTTATAATCAGTGTCACATAAGGCTTCGTGTACATCTTGTAGATTTAAAACAAAACTGAAACTAAAACTGCCATCAAAGTCAGAAATCAAAGAAGCAATTTAAACTGAGGCCAGCTAAGTGCTTTCTGATCTAAAAAATAACATTTGCTCAATAAGCCCTTTTGTGCAGAATTACAATTTCTCATTCAGCTTTGACTTTTATTAAAAAATGAGCTTATCAGTGCAATTCAAAGATAGAAAAYATATAAGAATCCACAATCAGAACATTGTGTGGGTGCCAAAAAGCTCCAAGCATCAAATGGTTCTGAAAATTTGGAAAGAACTATGTCTCTGGTTTATCTCAACTCTTCACCTCTTCAAATACCAGCAGATGTGCTAGTTAGAGTGCCAGTTTACTGAAGGTGGAATATTTTTAAGGGAAATTTATTTCCTTATAAATCAGTGAAAGATTCAAGTTTAGAACACAGATTTTTCTGATGACCCATCAAACTAGAGATTCAGAAAGAAATATATATAGTGTTTATATGCATATATACATATGTCACACCATGTAAAATACTTACTTGCAATAGTGCCAGACCACCACACTATATCTGTTAAGTATGAAGTACCTGAAAGAGGAAGCATAAACATACATATGAGAAAAGCATGTAATTGCATTGCTGAAACTATGAAATCGTTCATATCRAAAAGCATTTCATTGGCCTCCATTATCAGGGATTTTTATCCTAACCTTTTAAGGCAAAAGGGTGCRAGGGAAAAAAAAAGAAGAAAAAAAATAACACAGGAGAGAGGATGACAGGTAGTCAGATTTGGCCTAAATATCCAAGTTAGATCTTTCTAAGGCCTTATTAGTCTCCCTTATTAGTGAGAGGCTCTGACTACGCAATATCCAAYGCTTGAGCTTGCTTGGAGAGCCTCTGCCATGTCAGCAAATGCTTCTGACAGGGCCATTTGATGGGATATTAGAATCACTACTAAGAGAAATGGAAACCTTTGGAAACAAATAATTTGGACAAATTAAGTTTGTAAATAGTCTCACAGTGAAATCACATGAGAGGCTTTTCTTGGCATGGAGTTAAGTACCTGTGTGGGGGCTAACGCTGTATGTGAGCACTTGGAAGTTACAGTGACCGAAGACTTCTCCAAATTAATTACTATGTTTCTAAGAGAGGGTTAAAAACTAGATTGTCCTTTAATGTCTACCAAGCTCAAAGACGTTTAGTTTGACTGTAATTCAGTTATTAAGGACTCTTGACTTGGAGTGCACCACAGGGTCTAGGCATCACATTTTGGAAGCTCAACTTGTGTTATCAAGGCAAATAACCTTTTGTCGGACTAACCCYTGTCTTCAAAGAACTCAACTTTGGCATCACATTGTCCTGTGCTTAACGTCCCATTTCTCTTTCTAACAGTTCAGTTCTGCACTTGTTTGGAAAGATGATCTCTCAAGACCTGGCAGAGTGATAGGCGATACTGTAAATAAACAGAGCACTCTGAAATCCCAAGGGAAAGGAAAAAAAATTCTTTAAGTCAGTCATCTATCACTCCAGAGACTTATAAAATATTAAGTCATTGAAAAATCATACTATACAACTGAAATGTGAGGAAAAATGACTAACGAGAATAGCCAGCTTTCAAGTGGGTGTACACATACTTTAGATTTTTGTTACTGCATATAAAGCACTTTGTTGGGGGTACAAATTATAGAAAATATTGACTCAAGGAAGGTAATTTTGCAAAATATTTGCAGTTGCTCGCTGCTGTTYCTGACTAAAGCAAGGGTTACTAATTGCATTCCTACCATGTTACTGACTCTGTGAAGAACATGGAAAAGCCTTGAAGCGGCTCGTTAATTATACAACACCTATTGAAGCCAGTGGAGCAAAAGGAGGAAAAAAAAGGGACATCATTTGACATTAAAGATCTTAGGCTCTTAGTTCTGGCCATGGGACTTAAGGAAGGGCTTCACCATTTCAATACATTATATAGACAAGAAAAATAAAATAAAATGACTTTATTTTGCCTGGCTGTTTCCTCATTTACTTTTATAGCTGCGTAACGAGCAGCACAGCAGGAAACCCTGGTCATCACAAGACACGCCGATAATCTTCAGCGATAGCCCTGGAGCAGCAGGAGCTCCCGAGCCGTGGCAGCCCYGCCAAGGTGGACAGCGCAGAAAGGGGCCCCTGCCCGCCCGCTGGACGTGGTCAGACACTGAGAGCTCTTCCCARGGGATGAGAGCGGCTCTGCTGGGCACGGGAACTCGCTTTAACCACGCTGCAGGGGCGGCGTCACTTCCTCCTCTCCCGTTTTCTGCGTTTCCCTTTCAAGCAGGTTGGCGTACACGGCGCACACGCGAGCCCCGCGTCYGCAGCAACAGCCCCTCGCAGCCTTTGGGAAGGGGAAGCGGGATGAAGCGCACGGAACGGCGCCTCAGCCGGAAGGCCCCGGGCGCCCAGGGAAGGTCGCCCATGGAAAATCCAAGAGGGGTGTGTTGGGTCACGTCACCCTGCGCGCCCTCGGGGGCGCCCCCAGCACCGCCATGGTGCACAAGTCCCACCAGAGCAGCAGAGCAAACGCTGCCGGCCGCCCGGGGACAATAATGAAACAAGGACAGGGAAGAGGCCCCGCACAGGCCGGGAAGGAGCTGTATCCCATCGCTGCTGTATCCTGTAGCCTCTCTGTGCTCCAAAAGGAGCGATGAGCAGAACGGTATTCAGGGACTGCGCTCTTTCGGGAACTCAGCATCACAGCAAAACACAGAACATCTCAACACGCTGCAGATCTGCACCCTCCTTCTGGCCGGGCTGGACGGCACGGCCGGTTGCTGAGTGTTCACCCCCTCCGCAGCACCGCTCCGCACGGGGCTGCGCGGCCGGGAAACGGAAGGGACGGGCGGGCTGAGCCCGCAGCGCAGCGCAGCGCGGGGGCCGCCCCGCGATCCCGGGAGCGGGAGCCGGCGCGGGGAGCGCCCCGCAGGGCAGCCCCGAGCGCGGGCTGCAGGCGGAGGGGCGCCGCGAGCTGAGGAGAACACCCTCGGGAGGAAAAAAAAAA